TCCGTCCAATTACCGTTCCTGTAATTCGCGTACGATGTCGACACACACGATGTTATACGTTTGCACACTGAGAGTATCTGGTTACACGAGACGTATCACCTTTTGTTCGAACGGTCAACGATATCTAATTCATTTAGGGCGCATTTAAAGCAATTATTACTTTTACAGTGGTGACGCAGAGGTCGCTAAACATCGTATTACGTCCTCGTGGTAATAATGTCCTCGATCGGAGGTAACACGTTCTTTAATCTGTTTCCATCTTACGGTACGTACTGTCGCTGTTCGATCGGGAAAACTGGGATCGGTTTTCACTTGGAAGTCGATGAATTGTTGAAGGTGACGTGACGGAAGGTGACGTCTCTCGCACCAATATCCACAAAGTAATAATGGCTGAAATTGATCTACCGTGAAGCCTCGTTTTTCGTACGAATTGCTCGACTCACTTTTCTCTCATCCCGCGTTCCCGACATCTTCTATAACCGAGAAGAAAATTCACGACCACGCGTAGATATTATTTCGATGAGATCGAAAGAACGTCTAGGATTTAAGTTAAGTCTGCGATTTACTTCGTTGATAGTCAAAGTCCTTTGGTGAATTAATGCACGATAACGTCGCCGATGCAACGCTACGCCAAAGGCATGTTTCTCGATGCAACGTTCGGAGACGGAGGAGAGTTCATGTCCCTCTGTGTTGCGAGACGTGTCGAAACGGATAGTTACCCGAAATACACGCGCACGTACCGATGAACGAGAGCGATGAATATAACCGAATTGAATAAACAAAAGAATATCATAAACGAATAAAATAGAAAAATAATAAAACCGCTAAATATAATGAACGATTGAGAATATGTACGTAGCACGTATAAAGAAGATATATGTAAACTATGGTGAATAAGGTTAATACACGGAGAAAAAGACTTAATAGGCAAGGTGGAGAAGCTACGTTTTGCCCCTGTTATCTTTCTTCTCTCTCGTTCAATCATAGCTCGTCTCATGTTCTCTCTTTCTCTCCCTCTCTCCCTCTCTCACAGCTCCCGCTTTACTCTTCGTGAAAATCGATTCGCTACCGGCCCGGACAGCAGATCACGTCGAACGTGTATTGAAAAAAATGTTTCCTACAACGAAACGTTACCTTATTGCCGCTTGTATCAAACCAGTGACCCTCGTCGCCAAGATCTCCACGGTACGAATCACAAAAACTCTTCGACCGGCATAACCAGTTTTCAGCTCTGCTATCGTTGTGTTACGGCTACGAACTTCGTTAGAACACTGAAAGGGCAACCGTTCTGTACTACACGAAGGCAAATTGAACAATATTGCGATTTAAACAACCGCCAGTACGAAGAAATGAAAGAGAGTCACGACCAAACACACCCTCTATACACACCCGTCGGCCGTCGACGCCAAACTGCGCGAGAGCGCCACCTTTCTTGCCTGTTCTCCTCCATCCCCACCATTAACCCTTGGTGTCGCTCCGTACTCACTGTTTCACTCTTTCCTCGAGTTATTATCACTTGCTTTATTCCTTTCTTTTTCTCGCCACTCCTTGTTTCGTTATAATTTCTTCGTATTTTGATATTTATAAATTTGTTGTTACTTGTTTATACCACATTTTTGTATATTACGTTTTTCGAAGAAGTCTTTAATTTTTGTTTTATTACTTTCCATCATATCTTATATATACGTATAGTTAGAGTAAGAGAAATTAACTTACAATTTAAAATTGATTGTAGAATCAGCTTCTGAGTCTTTTTACACAGTTTAAGGAATATTATTGTAAAAGTGAAATTTTACAAATTGGCAACATTAATAAATTACACGCGTAAATTTTATAAATTTATAACTGTCAGTTGATCTTTCTGTTCGATGTAAAATTATAAATTTTGCCGATTCAATAATATTGCTATTTGGTAAATTATTTTACACTAGATGAGAGAGCGCTGGTGTGTTACATGTATAAAACAAACAAATGTATCAGATATGCGTATCTTCCACTTTTTCTCCAATGAAAAAAAGAGATATTTGGGTTTTCCTACAAACCTCTCTCAATAGCTATTTTGATAAGTGATCAGTTAACGAAATAATGTGAAAACTGTATTTTGTCATTACTCTTTTCCCGTTTTTCTATATTGTATTGTATATTTTTTTGTTTCAACACATTTGCCTTGTTCTTTCAATTTATAATATCCAATTTACAATCCATATAATATAATGTTTTTGTGGCACGCGATCTATGTCTCTCTATTTTTATCGTCTCCATTCGCCTTTCTCTCGCTTCGCACCCTGTTTCTAGTCCACGAACCCTATCTCAATTCACGCATGCGCGAAACTACGGTTGCAAATAGGCCCGCGTCTGCGTTCTTCTAATGTCGTCTGTCTTTCCGTTTCTTTCCTTATTCTTTCTCCCCATTCGTTTGAAACTGTTCGTTTGTAAAGTTAGCGTGATCCAAAAGAAATTATTCGTTCGTTCCACCCTTCTATAGCGAAAACACGATATGTCCGTGTGCCGACGTCAGCCGGCAAATGATAATATACATCCCCATCGTCGTATCATTATTGTCGAGGGAAACATAACCACATGGGGATAAATTGTGTATCTCCATATAAAATAATGTTTGTCTCGATCAAAAAATATAAAAAATTAATATTCATATAAATAAGAAAATTGATACATATAAATAAGAATTAATCTTATAAAGTTATTATCTTACACAATCTTTGATGCTGTGGTATTTTCTTGTTATGCAATGTAGGATTTAAAAAGTTAAAATGAATTGCTGAAACCATAAAAACCGAGTTTAGTATAACTATAAATAAAAATTACATTTATTTCCAAGTGGAGTTGCTACCTTGTACAGTTCTTAATAATCATAATATATTTTTATTAAGGGAGAGTAACCTAGAATTTAATAATAAATTTAGAATGAATTTTTCTATATATAATTATTATAAATCCTCAAAACTAGATGATGTTCAGTAAATAATTAATGATACTAACGATCACAATCGAAAAGAATATCGATTTACCGATAGAAATCATTAACGTGACAGAAAATGCATGACATACGTTCTCACGATTTTCGTGCCATATGTTACTTCTACATATAATAATTATCAACACGCAGTTACGTTTATGTAAATTCAAACTTACAATTAGATTCGTAAATTACGAATATATAACGTTATTTAATAACGGCCAATATTTCAATCGCACTGTATGACAAGAACACTTGTTTCAAAGGACAAATTATGATCGATATTTGTCAGTATTCATACGTATATATGTTCAAGTGTTTTTGCATTGTTGAATTGTAAGTACTTCGAACGAATCTTTAGAACGAATTCCACTGGAGCTGTAATAAATATTTACTTCCAAAGCGAAGTCTATTATATTACTGATATAGTCTCCTTATAGTCTTCTCCTATCGAAAATTTTGTACTTCAAACACCTAGTTATTTATCATATTATGATATTCCTGAAATAAAAATTATAAGTATGAAATAATATAAATATAGATATTATATTTTATGAAATAAAATACGTTTAATAACATATATGTATCTTAATTTTTAAATAAAAAATTTCCACTTCATGAAAATAATTTTCTATCAGAAGATAGAATGACAATCGGAAAATGGATTGGAGATGGTGATTGGAAAGCTGGAAGTCACAAAATGGTCATAACAACGTGCCACGAATGAATAGATAAAATGAAATCAAAAGAAAGGATCGTTCAAAAGACGACTGACACTTAGGTGTGGCCTCGTCGGGATAGATTTGCCAAGTTCTGATTAGAAAAACGGCACTCCCAGAAACATTAAAAGTCAAATCGATATCAACGACCTCATTGATTTCAAAATTAAATACCTTTAGATATTTTGATATATTTTGAATTTATTGTATATTTAAAACTTTTTTATCTATTACATATTTCCAACTTACTTTACTTTTTAATTTATTGTACATTTCATTAACTTTATGACATTTTCGTGAAATAATTGAATACTATATATAAAATACTATTTAGTTATTTTTTAAAACAATAATTGAAAAATAAAGGTACAATAATCGAATGTCAATTATCAAACCACTAATGATTAGTAGAAGAATAATTTCCTGTAGATTATCATATATTATCGCTTGCCATAATTAAATGGCAATTTGCTAATTGGTTGCTAGTAATTAAATTAACATTCATACTCATTGATATTTTAACTACTTGGCAAGGAAATCCAAATCAATCGATGGAATATTAACAATGACCATGAATAATTTATATTTTAATAATTAAATTTTATTGACCAGAAAGTTTACTTATATAATCATTTTTTGCAATATCTTTATCAAGAAAGAAAACAATTTCATTACAACCTATACGCTCTTGATTTTAAATTTTCTTTCGCCAAAAATTTTTGAATATTTTTTCGTAAATATTATATAACCTGTAATCGTAACTCGATTATTTTTAAAATCATTAATGTGACTAAAGTCATAAAATATTTATGTAATGTAAATGAAATAATATTTCGAAAAAATACCTTCGATCTTTGTTTCATAATAATATCAAGACATACGAACTATTTCATTTCGTTTGTAATATCGATTCCTCTATCTTTCTCTACCGAATAAAATGTTTCACGTATCCAAACACGCGTTTATTATCAAGGAACTTAAAATTAATTTCATAATAAAAAAAAAGAAAAATTAAATATTACATCTTTTCATATTAATTTTTAGCAAAAGTGTGTCAGTTACTCTTTGTTTTATTTACAAAATTATTTTTAGATTCTGTCTGAAATAGCTTCTTATTCAGAAAGTTTGAAAGTTTTTATATTATTAAAGTTAAATCCTATATCTGTAATTGTTTTTAATATTTAAATGTTACAAGAACATTAATTGTAAAATATTTTGTATAAATAATTTAAAAATAAATAATTACCAAAATTTATATACTACTTGACCTATTTTTATTTCATTGGTAAGCAAAAACTACAAAACCTTCGATAGCTCAGTTGGTAGAGCGGTGGACTGTAGTTGGCTTATTTAAAATCACGGACATCCATAGGTCGCTGGTTCAAATCCGGCTCGAAGGAAATTTTTTTTTAATTTTTTCTAGTACAAATATATAATAATAATAATTTTGTAGTACAAAATTAACAATAAAAAAAAAGTTAAGAATTAACACAAAAGTGCTGGCTATTTTATTGGGAAATTATCTAATGCCACGAGTTTTATAGAAATATGCATTTTTATAAATAAAATAAAATAACCTTCACGTATGGTTTTAGAGATATGTATTTCTTTCTAGACAAATATATGTATAAACGCATTTAGGCGGATCTGACGGTTTACCGTCAGTCCCACACTATGTCTTAAAATGGATCTGGCGCTTTAGTGTTAGTATGTATATATATAAAGAAATGTAAGATATTGTGTATAATTATAAAAAATATTAAACGAAAAGAAAAAAATTATATTTTTCTCGACCGTGACAGGACTCGAACCTGCAATCTTCGGATCCGAAGTCCGACGCCTTATCCATTAGGCCACACGGTCTGTTATGTGAAAGTAACCAAACATTTTATATCAACATATTTTATATAAAATAGAATTTATAATTAATTATAATTATAAAATTTAACAACATATCTTCTATCATGTGCACGTAATATAAGTAAAATTAAAAACTTATATCTTATACTTTCTTCCTTTCAATATTTGCCAATAATAATTTTCTGATAATAATTGTAAAGTATCATAACTGTAAACATTATATTATGAACATCTACAAAATCAATATTTTTATCCTACAATAATAACATATCCTCTAAGTCGAACCATTGACCAAGGAACGGACAGTATAATAACGCGCGTTTCCGAACGTTCGACTGCTTTCGGACGATTCTGACTATTAACGCGAATCATTGCACGTCTGCGCAGAAGTTTAATTTGATACCTTGTAAATTTGAAAAGTTAACAGATGAAAGTATGAAAAGCGAATCTATTCATGTAAAATATAAATCATGGCCTTTATAATTCATTATTCTCACATGAAAAAAATATACGGATTAATATACTATTTTATTGCAATACCTTTGAAATTTTAACTGTTGCGTCATTCATTCGTCATATTTATTTTCAAATCTTCAGTACAAATTTAACTTTATAGGTTATTTAACTAATAATTAAACTAATATCAATTCTGCTAGTAAGAATTTTATTTATCTCCTTACATCAATCTGAGAGCAATGTCAGAACTTGACATTCTTATCAATAATTGAAATACTAAAAATTAATTACTATTGGAATGCTCATGTACCAATATCCTGTGCAGATATTTCTTTGTATTATGCAGTATAAGTCTGTCCTTGTTTGACACTATTGCGGTCTTTGTCTACGACGGAAGTGTCATCTAACCATTTTTCACTTGCGACTAGAATTAAAAGGTTAAAAATGAAAAATCCAATAGGTGACAGTTCAATGCTTTGTGACAGCTAAATAGTTTTTCTGGTTTTCGATAGATGGGAGTATCTGTCTTCGTGAACAAAGAGCGCATTAACGTGTGACAAGGACAGACTTATATTGCATGCAGCAAGGAGCTTGCTAATGTACGATAAGAACAGCAATTGATTTCAATTCTATCATCCTATCGTTAATTTCAGTGTTAAAGTTTTATTGACGAAAAAAATTAATTAAGGAGATTAATTTGCAAACTTTTGCAATTGTATCTCCATCCCCTTCTTCATCTCTTTATTATCTGTCTCTAATCAAATAATGTTGTCTGTATAACATTGATGAAACACAGTTTTGTGTTGCATACATTGTATTCATGATCTATTAAATCGCATTAATAATATGAAATAAATTATCATTAAATTTAATAGCAAATTTGACAAAATAGTAATACTTTATTGACAATATTATGCATTTTAGAATATAATGCATATAGAAATACTAGAATCAGAATAAAAATGACAACTTTTCAAACTCAACTTTTATATGCTTTAGGAAGTAAAGTAAAAGTTTTTTCAGAGTTAAAGAAAGTGTTTGTTCGTCCTTTGATACAAAGTAAGTCATTTTTACTATTATGTACTATAAATATTTTAATTATCATCAATGTACTTAGATTTTTTTAAGAAATAATTGCAGTTTATTACTTACAGTTGCTGTAAAAACAATAAATCAAGAATACATAGAAGAAGGCATATTAGATAGAATAAGTCAAAAATACAATATACCAGATGAAACTGTGGATGAATATTATTCAGTCATTTTTACAATATTAAAGATACATTTGGGCACATTATCACAAAATGTGAAACCTGCAGAATTTAAACAAATATTAGAGGAATTAAAGTATGTGTTTTATTAATGTTATGCATTATTTAATGATTTTTAATTTTGTAGCAAATGCAATATTATTTTTACAGATTATCATCAGAATGTATTGATGATTTATCTACAGTTGTATATGGTCAAAAGCGACCGGAATTAATATCAGGATTAATGCAGAAAACAAAATTTTATCCGCATTTGATAGGTTGCAAATGGCGTATTGATATTACTATTTCATCTAGGTATTATATATTTCTAATAAATTAAGAATTTTGTGACATCTCATAATACGTATAATACGAAAATGTTGTAAATGTTTTTAGCATATTGAACAGAGTCTTGGAACCACATATTATAATGGAATGGATATTTAATAATGGAAAGCATCAAATATTTGAATTGTCATTATCAAAATTTCACCAACTGAGACATGCTATAGCAACTATACTTGTAGATATGCAAAAGATTGAGAAACAATGTGCTTCAAAAAATATTCTGTGTAGTTGATGATGGTACAAAACCAATATACATTATACATCTTTTTCATTATAACCTTGTGCAATATTGTATTACAAATAACAAATAAGATGTAAAATATTCTTTGTAATTGTTATTACATTATATGTAATAACATAAAGAATTAATAAAATCAACAGGCTTTTCCCCGTTATTTTATTTTAAAGACCAATACAAATTTAAACAAAACAGTTTACAAATTATATTGTGTTATATACTTTCAATTTTTATATTATTTTCACTTCTTTAAATTAAAAAGATATAGTTAGTACTTGATACCATTAATAATTTTTATGTACGATAAGAATAATACATCGCTATCTCGCGACCTATGTAGGTGGTATGTTGGTGTATGTTAGTGAGTGTGGTATGTTGGGTCTGTTTGTAGAACAGACTTACTTCTGAAAGGAACTGAAGTTTTTCATCAAAATGTCATCGTTACTGAAAAATTGTTGGAAGCTGTCACGAAATCTACCAGTCACAACATTAAAATGTAAATAAATTTCATTGATAATTCATTGATTTTATACGTTCTATATTATGTAATAAATTATAAACTAAATCGATAGGTTATCCAAAATTTCTTCCCTCGATAAGAACGAATACTACAGAAACTGAAAAACCAGAAACACGACGTACGTAAAAAATTCTTCTTTACAATATGTTTAATAATTTAATGTACTTAAATATAAATATAGGAATTTTTATAATATATGTTTCATAACCTGCTTTTTATTTTTCATAATTCTTTTCTAAACATTTATATATTATGCTTCTGTTAAACAGCGACCATACGTAGAATAACAACAGATATACAAACCGTAAAGGATCTGGGTTTATACATTAGTGGATGTTTACCAAAGTATGTGCAGAAAGTTCAAATAAATGCTGGCGACGAACTTGAAATATTAATTTGTCCTGATGGAGTTGTACCAACGATAAATTTCTTAAAATATCATCAAAATACTCAGTATATTTCATTATCAGATCTGACTGCAGTGGATGTCCCTTCTAGAAAATATAGATTTGAGGTAAATTCTGAGTAATTTCTTGAAAATTAATATTTCAATACAATAAATGTTTTTACACAATATTTTAATACAATAACATATTTTGTTATTCAATGTTCTGGTTTTTAGGTTGTCTACAATCTTCTTTCTTTTGTTTTTAACTCACGTATTAGAGTGAAGACGTATACAGATGAATTGACACCTTTACAATCAATAGAAAGTATTCATGATGCTGCAAATTGGTATGAACGAGAAATATGGGATATGTTTGGTATACTGTTTCGAGGTAATTCAGATCTTCGAAGAATTCTTACAGATTATGGTTTTGAAGGCCATCCATTAAGAAAAGATTTTCCTCTTAGTGGTTTTGTTGAGGTAATATCATTACATAATTCTCTTTCATTTCACAATATCTTTGTTTCTTTAATTTATAATGTACAATGTAAAAATTATTCTTCAAATGTAGGTACGCTACGACGACGAGTACAAAAGAGTCGTATGTGAACCATTAGAGTTAACACAAGAATTTCGTAAATTTGAATTGTCCGCTCCATGGGAACAATTCCCAAATTTCCGTCTTGCCGCACCTGAGGAAAGCAAAGAAAAAGATTCATCTAAAGAAAAAGATAAAAAGTAAATTGCTTTTATTGTATATTATAAACATGTATTGAAATAGACATGTTTTAGTTTTTACATTAATTACAATAATTATTTATTTAATACTATCGTGCATCCCTTTCAATAAAATAGATACAAAATAAGAACGGAAATTTTGTAATTTGCTTATTGACCCTAGTAGCACGAACAATTTATGTGAGATAACTTTTTTTATATTGTTATTTATTTTACATACTATATGATATAAATGTAATTTGTTAATTACAAAGTGCTTATATCCTAATTTTAAGGCATATTTTTCGGTGAGTTGTAAATAAATCGAATCAATAACAGAATTGACTGATTCTATATTTAATATTTTCGTATATATAGTAGGAATTACTGTATATTTATCCTTTCCTTAAGAGAAGTGTACAAGTACTCAACCTTTGCTTTTATATAATTATACATACACTAAGAATATTTTATACATACAATAAAAATATATACTAAATTATGTTATTGCATCTTTCATTTTTTTTTTTTTTTTGTTCTGTTCTAGGTAATTTTGATAGCACCAGCAATTAGAATGTTTTTAAACTAAGTACTTAAATATGCTCATATATTTTACTTTA